AGCTATTAGATCTTCCGCTCCGTTCGAAGACTGTGCGTAGCCCCACGTTTGGTGTTGGAGGTTGAAGTCTCCGCCGTAGTGTTTCTGCTCTCGGGGGTATACATCGTGCAGATGAGCGATCCATCCCTGGTTCCTTGTATGCGTCTTGTCTCTAAGCGGTCTGTAGTAGATGGACACAAAAATGTGGTTCGTCTGCTGAACCGTTGCGCGAACTGCAACCACTTCTTGGTGTTCATCACAGTATGGAGTAAGGTCGACCTGGTGTTGATACCAGTCGCTCCTTGCGTAGACAATAGCTTTTCCCGGTGGAGAAGCCGAGTAACCTGGGCGCTTGGATGTGATTGATGGGCCGGAGTAGGCTGTGTAGCCGCTAAAGTTGATGCTTGACGTGTTAGTTTCCTGAAGTAGCATTACGTCGGGACGTTCATCGGGCTTGTCCAGGAGTCGTATCCGAAGCTCCGCCGCCCGTTTGCGAAGCCCCTGACTGTTCCACTGGAGTACCTTAATCATTTTTCCACAAAGAATTGGGCTGCGAGTGCCCGTTGATGATTGGCGTATTCTTTATACTTCTTGTTTTCCTCCTGTAGAGACTGAACGATGGTGTTGAGTCTGTTTAGCTCTGCCTTGAGGAAGTTGCACGTGTTGCGCAATTCTTGTGCTTCTGCCGTTGGCGATGGTAACGGTGGTGGCGAGAGACCCTGCTTGACCTTATTGGCCCACAGGTTCTCACTGGGCGGTACCGGGGTCTTGACTGGTCTATTTCATATCTCCTGTTGTTGCTGTTGCAGCTTGTGCTGTTCTCTGAAACTATTGATGTCTTTCCGCATCCTTTTGTTGGTTTCCTGCCATGTGGGGCATTTGCGGTCGGTTCCGAGGTGGCCCTTCTTTTTACATCCCTGGCAGTAGGGTGTAGTGTCGGTACATCCAGGTCCCTGGGTCGGGTCCGTTGGTCTTGGATGGTCGGTTCCGCATATAGGGCACACTGCCGTATTCGGGCATATATCGAACTTGTGTCCTAGACGGTGGCAGTGCCCGCAGGTTACTGCTTTCGGTTTGAACGGGAATACCCGCATGTACCTCTTGCCGTAAAGAACAGATCGAGGCGTTTTCTCTCCATCGAACGTGAGGACCGCCGTGTTTGACTTGCCTAGTCTTCGAGCGGCTACCACGTGAGGCTTTTCTGACTCAATTTCCGAATTGAGAACGTCGTCTTGCGGGTCCTCTTCCTTGGGATATATGTCATAAATGACACCCTTGCTGTGTGTACTCCCATAAGTCCTGAAGACTTGTATGGGTATCTTGCCTTTCTCTTCAGTGCCGATCTCTGTGATCTTCTCAAGAGTCTCGGCTAACTCTTTCGAATCTGTGCGGACCGAAATCGTGTTAGCCTTTTCTATGAGATGCATTGTGAAGGCCGTAGAGATGTGAGTGCCCGTGAGGTGCATTTTGAGTAGTGGAAGTAGGGGCTTGATCGAGATTTGTGAACGCGTCAAACGGATCTTATACTCGTACTGCCAGCGCCGGGTTGACTTGGCTTCCTCGGAAGTTTGCTGTGTCGGGTCCCCTCGGACCCGTTTCCTTTTCTTCTTATACGTCACCTGGGTCCAACCAACCGTGTCCTCAGGTTCCTCTCGTGTAGCAGGTGGCATCTCGCTGACCGCGTTCGGTGGTGGTGCGAGTGTCCCCGCAGGTATCGAACTGGCGCGCTTGTTCTCCACTGCATGCGGCGTTGTGTCTGGTATGGGCGTGGTGCCGGCTGCGGCCGGCGCTTCTTGCGTTTGTTTTGTACCTAGAGGGTTTATCGGAGCTTTCTTTGAAGCCGATTTCTTCTTCGCTTTGGTTGGCACAATTTCATGGGTTTCTCCAAGTATGTCCTTGAATATGTCTAAAAGGTTCTCCCTCGGGATACTCGCGAGAAGGGACCTTACAGCTTGTTCAACTGAAAAAGCCGTGTTTGGAATCGTGGAGGGCTCACCGAAGCATACAACGGCGGGGCACTCCATTGTTGGCTTTTTCAGTGTCGGAGTGGCAAGACTTGCCGGTCCCGCCTCGATAGGGGCGGTTTCGGCGTTGCTCGCAATCTTCGTGTCCATGGCTTCGGGCTGACCGCTTACATCGGTGGCTGGAACGTTGCTCGAAGTAGTGGGCCCAGAGCCGTTTATACTGAGAGAGTTTGGCCTTCTTAAGGAGATTTTAACAGTCTGACAACCACAGCAGCGTAGTCTGGCAACCGGGGGATGGCTACTTCCGTCCGCCATATTGTGGATCTGACTCATAGGAACTCTACGCGATTTCTCAGGAATGAACAAGACAAAGAAGTAACGCCATATTGTGTTATCGCGAAATCCGCTTGTTCTAGCGGCCAACAAGCTCCGCCCATCGGCCAAACTCTCTCAGTATAAACGGCTCTGAGTGGGCCTTTCTTCTGGTCCTCCTGGTGAGAAAACCCCTCGAGGAAGGCCGAATAATGAGCCCGAATTTGGCAGCTCGGTGCTGGTCATTTTGTTCGGGTAGCTCAGAAAATCGCGTCCGATCTTGTCGGTAGCTTCTTCTTTCTCCGCTATTTTGCTTTTTCTATTCATCTCTATTTTTCGTTTTCTTTTTCGTTCGCCTTTTCTCCCTTTTCCTTGTCTTTTCCCTCTTCTTCCTTGGCAACCTATTCCTTGGGGTCAAAGAAGAGGAAGTTTGAAATAGAAATCACTAGATAGTTCAGCGCTCTGTGGTATTTTTTTGTGTGTTTGGATTTTGAGTAACTGTCTACCTGGGCGCTGGTACGTAATTATGCCATCATAGTTCCATTTTATTACAGCCAGAAATGATAGCTCCCGGCTTTAGGTTAGCTTCGAGTCAGGCTTAGCTTCGTCTAAATGCGCATGAGACAAATTAAGCTGGGGTCACACTGCTCATACATCATACAAAAAAGCAGTCTGCGAACGCGAGTCACTCCATATTCGTGGTTCGAATGCCGCATGCCAAGTTTTCCTCTGGAACTCATTGCCATGCGGCATTCGAAGTGCGAATCCGACGGTGACTCGTGTTCGAATCTGTACGCAGACTCTTTTAGTATAATGTACAGGGTGCGGCCGTAAAAACTTTCACATTTGGCAGGCCTAGCAAAAAACGAATTTCAAACGTACATACCTAAAATTGGGCACACGAACGTCGTTTATTCCAAAGTTTTTTGCCTATTTTTTTCAGACGTCAACTCTGGAGTAGCGAATTATTAGAAAGATAACAAAAATGGCAGACGTGCATTTCCTATGGCCTATACCCGCCCGTTCGCCGTCTGCTATCTAATTCGCGACGCCGCTCCCAGATGGCGTACTGAATGCAAAAACCTCGGGAAACGCCGCACGAAAGGCTGGTGTCGGGCGAGATAATCGCGATAAAAAGTGATTTTACCGAAATATGTGAACGATTATGCCCTTTTACTTAAAATTTAGAAACTGGCGGACACCCTCGTTTAATAAAAATATGTTCTAAAGCAGACGAACGTGTGTCTTCCTTTTTCGTCTGCTTATCTGTTGACGGGTCCGTTCCCAGTGAAAGCTCAACTTTAGAATCAAGATTGCCGCTGCTGAGGAATCTTGATTGTTCCAATTAATTGTTTTTATTGCACTATCCTCTGCAGTTATTATCAAAATATTTTTCGCGCCGCCCTGCGATGCCGCAATACTCGGCAAGTGGGTGTGCCCAGGCAGTCAAGTGGTACGTGGAGCGGAACTCGGTGGCCACAGCACAACGAAAATTTCGCACTGCATTTCATAAACGCCCGCCTTCACGCCCGACTGTTTTGAGTTGGGCGGATTGTTTTGTGAGCGGAGAAGACTTTAAAAAGAAAAATCCAGTCACTGAACGTGAAAGCCTGCTGAAGAATGAGGAGCTCATTGAAGCAGTGCTTGCTGTCTTCGAGAGCGACCCGCAATTTTCAACAAGACGAGCAGCTTTAAATAAATGATCTCGTCGCATCATGGTGTCCTCTTGCTTGCATGACGATCTGTCAGAACTTGACTTGAAACAGGTAATTTCAACAATCGTTCATATATTTCGTTCAGATCACTTTTTATCGCGATTATCTCGCCCGACACCAGCCTTTCTTGCGGCGTTTCCCGCGTTTTTGCGTTCAGTGCGCCACCTGGGAGCAACGTCGCGAACCAGATAGCAGACTGCGAACGGGCGGTTATAGGCCATAGGAAATGCACGTCTACCATTTTTGTTATCTTTCTAATAATTCGCTACTGCAGAGTTGACGTCTGAAAAAAATAGGCAAAAAACTTTGGAATAAACGACGTTTGTGTGCCCAATTTCAGGTATGTATGTTTGAAATTCGATTTTTGCTAGGCGTGCCAAATGTGAAAGTTTTTACGGCCGCACCCTGTATAAGCTGTGTGACTGTGGCTTTAGGGGTGGGAGGAATTTTCGGTGTCACCTAAAGAAGGCCAACGCTGGGCACACATCAGATACGAGTGCCGCGTCATCGTACGGCCGAGACTCGTGACCAGTCCGTGACTACACGAGTTTCGGCCCGAACGGTGTCACAGTACTCGAACCCAATCTGCGGCCCAAAAATGGCCTTCTTTAGGTGGCGTTGAACGTGCGTAGTTAGGGCCTTGTTTGCTTGGAACTGATGAATTGCCAATCATTAAGAACCTCTTCTTGGCCAGTTAAGACATTTGCGGGTTTTAATAGTGGCGAAGCAAAATTAAGTGAACAAGACGCTCCGCTAAGAAGTCTCAAATGTATTCACAATTTGTTCAACAGCACAAGTAACGCACTAAAATTACTTCTTAATTGAAGCTTTTGTGTAAACATTTGGTGGGGGCAGTGGAGTTGGTATTGGTTTTGCTTTAGGCTGGCTGTAGATCCTTCCGATATTCTGCACTTGTGGTCTCTTTTATATCATCCTTTTCTGAACTTCCTGTTGTTGTTTTTCTGCCACCGTGTCGATCTCGGTTTTCTTATCACTGAAGTTTCACTGTTGTTTGCATGTCTCTCTACAGTGAACCTGGCTGTACATATCGTCTACGACCGATATTTTGAAGCGATCTCTAAATTCAGAGATGAATCTGGAAGATACCTCGACTACTTCACTACGTTTCTAAACATCGTACGTTGGTTCTACGGTTATTATGGCATGCGCTGATCCACCCAATCACAATGAAGATATTTCTATAAGATAAACCTCGATTCGTTATGTTTTATTAAAGTATTCAGTTGACTGTATTGTCACTGACAAGATGAGAAACGGTAGGGCGTCTCTTTCGAACGCCCGGCCTGCAGCGCGTGCTCATTGCCTTCCGACGCGCTTGGGCCGCCCGTGCATGCTCGATGCTCACGAGTCGCCAAAGCATTGTCGAAGCATAGCCTCCTCTATATTCACAATCCTGGCAGTTTACGACGGAGGCATAGAGTGCCCGGTCGCAGATATAGAGCGCGAGGATCTGGTAACACAGCATTTCTCAGGGGAACCTGGACGTCAGCGCACAGCTTTTGCAGCGGCGAGGACTCGACAAATGGTTTTCAAACCCGACGAGAAAAGAAGCGGTACGTAGCGCGAGTAACGCGAGGAGCACGAGCGGACATTCCATCGCTCGGGAGAACTGTGTTTCGCCGTCTCGCCGCAGCCTGGCGCCCGTCACTTGGCTCTCCTCACATCCGTTGTCTGCGCTTAATCTTTTCAATTTCGGTGACGCTTCTCGTTGCGATCTGCCAGGCTTTTTTAGTATAGAAAAGGCTATGGCAGGACGCTCGCGCTGGAGGTAGAACAATTGAAGGACCTCTCTGCCTATCTCATTTTGTCAGTAATTAAAATGTACGACACCCCCCCTCCTCTGAAAAAAAAAACAAAAAAACACCACCAAACGTTCCGCTAGCGGCTTGCAGACGACCGACGTTTCAGAACTATTATCTTTATTAAAAATTATAGGTGCTTTTCTTAAACTTTCAATAGAAAGTGGGGTCTGTTAGCGGTAGTCACTGCTATTCAGCCTCATCAATTCGTGGTCTTTGTAGGCCACCATTTTCCAAAGAAAATTTCAGAAGATCGCTCATCACTTCTGAGTAAGATAACGGTTCGTTCTGAGAGTATAGCATTTGGTTCACTGCTAGCGTTAGATTGGGAAGAAAGTTGTTCGACAGTGCGTAGTTATTTTTTTTATATTAAAAATATTACTTCTTAAGGGGCGGGGGGGGGGGGGGGGGAGGGACGTTTAGTGTCGTGCGTTTTCTTCTTGGCGAAAGAAAACATTAAATTTTGATAGAAGACTTAAAGATAAAGCTTAGTTAAATATAACACTTTTCAATTAATTTGCTGTCTTTCTAAAACGCTCTCTGATATCGTTACCACAAGGAGGATGTTGTTGTTACAATATATTGCTTATTTTTTTATGCCTTTTACTAACATTTTTGAAAACCGGAGACGACAGACGAAGAAAGGGACAACAAAAAAAAAGTCTCAAAATTCGTCTCCGGTTTTCAAAAATGTGTAACATCAACCAGCTCACCTGCCTACTTACTTTATCGTTTTTACTAGCAAGTTGTTTGACTAAACAGGTAGGCAAGCTTTGAGTGTAAATAACTTAAGCCGAGTGCATGCTTCCATCTAGTTCCTCAGAAATAATGCTTTGGCGATCGTTTGATCTCGACGTTGATTCGAGTGAACCAGCACAAGTCAAAATCTACAGAATTGCAGATACCTTGATTTCTAGGTAGAGTTGTGGTTCCGAAGTTTTCAACTACCAAACATCAAACTGACGCTGCACGCTGCTACTGAAGGCCCACTAAATGTAAGTATGCCTTGTGCCATCTTGTAGAGTCATAGCTTTTGACAAGTCTGAGACAGTGTTGAAGCCACCCCATCACCTAGTTATGGGTTCATAATCCGACAATTAGAGTATCTAAAGTCCCGTATAATTCTCGAGAAGTTGGACTTGAATAAGATCAAACACCGTCGTCCAAAAACAAAACAGATGTTACAGGGGGATGCCAAAAAAACAGTTTTCTAGCGTGGCCGCCCGGCGGCGCTACATCACCTCGGCCGCCATGGTACGTGCCTCAAACACGCACGAATGCCTATTCTTAATGTTTTGTCTCTTAGGTATGGGTTAAGGGGTGAAGTTTAATTAAAACACTGGCTAGATGGGCGAAGCCGCCACCTGATTCAATCTGTTCAGCAGCATACATGGAGGATCGATTCATGGTGGTCATCACCAAATCGCAATGACAGACAGTTTCTTCTGAACTTCCTTCACTGACAAAACAATCGACATTAGGCATTAACCAAGTGACGCCGCCATGATTTGCATGCCAGCGCCATCTTCTGTCACTTTTTGTACATATGGAGTTCTGACACAATTGAGAGTAGCTAAATGGCCGAGCCATGTATCGTTTTCCCCTTCCTTTCACCGCCAAATCCTCATTGGTAGAGATGGGGTCACATGCGCCAAGTTTTACTTCTTTCTTGAGGGGAAGCCGTCTTGCGGAGCGCTGATTTTGGGGCGGGACATACGTATATATACACGTAGGTTTCACTTTGCGCTCGTGAAATGTAGATGTTGCACTTAAGTACACTCTAAAAAATGCCTGCGCATCTACTCACACGCAAAACAATCAAAGGCCCAATCTTTGCGATCTACGAAATTACCTCAGCGAATGATGAGGCGGAACATCCGTTTAGACCTAAAAGGGAAGTCTGCGCTATGTCGTTACGCAATGCAAAGCGTCATGCTTGCATTCTGCAACGCCACAGCCCCGGCTTAATTTCGATGTCTAAACAGATTTGCCACCTGCGCCAAGAGCCAAGACATAATGGCCGCCGTCTAAAGGCCTGTCCAAACAGGACACTACAAAAATTGTCAGGCGACACGACTCCGACAAAATCGTTCGGCGCTCCGCTTCCGGCCTTTTTTATATTGCCGGGGGAAAGTTACCCCCGTCTAATCTCGCCCGTGCCCTCCACGGCGGCCTTGATCTGCAAATCACGTGAGTCCGGAGGGCCACTCACACGTTTTCTTGCCTGTCAGTCAATCGCTCAAGGCATCCGCCGTTTTGCAAGTCGCAAAAACGGGAAAAGGATTGACAAGAAGGTGCCATTCCCTTTCCCTGCGGGAAGCGAAACGCACGCTTCGACACAGGAATTTCCCAAATCCACCCGAAGCCAGACCTCTTTGGCCTTCCAGCCGAGGCGACGGCGGTAGCGAGGTCAACGAGCCGCGGGAAAAAACCAGTGGCAGGTGGCGTGTCGCTTCAGTTTTGACGATTTTTGCAGGACCCTGAATAGGCCTCTTTTTTGGACTCAACAGTTATTTCCTCCTCCTCCGTCTCATTCGCTGAGCTGATCTCGTATATCGCAGGGATTGGCCCTTCGAGTGTTTGGCGCATAAGCAGACGCGCAGGCATATTTTTTAGTGTATGACAAGCTAGACGCTTGAACTCTCGGGCATTGTGTGTTCCGAGTAGATATCTGGAATTTTGTTGTTTTTACAACGTTGGAGAGACAAATTTCGAACTGTTGCGATGTTGGGCTGCGCAAGAGGAGCATATACAGTTATTTCAACTCGATTGAACACCATTGTCCCTTCACTGGCCCCTAGGCATTATCGTAAAGGTTTTCTGTTGGTGGCGTCAACCAGTGCCCTCGTTTGTTGCATTCCCAAGACATCTCGTGGCGTCTCTTTGCATGTTTGGGTCGCCTACCTAATTATCGTAACCTGGTGCAACTTGTATCCTGAAATACTGGTGTTGGGGGTATATTGTTCCGGAAACTCTAGCGTGAACAGTAGCAGATTGTCATGCCAACATTTTATTATCTTTGTTAAAGGATATAGACAACGAGCCAGATGGGGACGAAGAAACTGTTGAAAAAACAATGAGCGACGAATCAAGCCAGGAGGAAGACTTTGACAAGTCCAAGACGCCATTCCAACCTTGCCGGAATAGATCGGTAACAACGAAGAAATTTAGATACCACGTTGAAACTCAGGATGCCTACAAGGGGGCGGACGTTGTCATTTTTGTGACAGGGTAAGATTAATAAAATTATCGCCCATTGAAATATTTTATACAACAATTTTTACCTCTCACTTTCAAATTTATGTACATACTTTTTATTGCAGATATTATATCTTCGTAAATTAAGCTATAAACTGTAATTTTCGAGTAACCATAACGAAATGCATGTACAATCTAGTTTGTTTTGATGAGCTCGCAATTGTGTCTAGAAATAAGCTTCTTAAGGCAGTAGCAACTCTCGCCGCATGGAGATAGTTGCAGTAGTTGTGTTAACAAATTTAAAGACTGATTTTACTTAATTTATTTTACTTCGTGGTATTTCAACTGGTTATACGAGAGTTACTTTTCCAACCTTTCGAGAAAATACTAATACGAAGTTGAAAAAAAAACATGGCAGGCGAGCAAACTACTTCAAAAATACAGAGTTGTCGATGATTTTTAATACACTTAATACACATTGAACTAACTTCAAAAAAAGTTCCAGAAGCTCAAAGATAAATGTAAAAAGTACTAACTTTCGAAAATGTACCACATCGAATTGCAAATTATACAATAAATGAAGTGGCGAAGGTTTTGCCGAGTGGACTAGATGTGTAACTCACCCAACCGATCTCATATATATATATATATATATATATATATATATATATATATATATATATATACATATATTACTTTTTGTTGGTATATTGGAACAAAAACACTATATCTTGTCGTCACCAATCTTGGAATCCTACTAAATATGCCCTGGTAGAGGTTTCAAGGTTCCACACTTCTTATTCTACATTGTACATTCTCTGTTATTCAAATTTGGATAACTTTTTCTTCCTTAGCCTATGTATCAATCTTGAAGCTGACGTCAATAAAAAATGGGAAGGTGAGCGATCACTTGTATAGTTTAATATTGTTTGGTTACCTGCTGGTAAGCTTCGCAGACCCGTAAACACTAAAAAAACAATTATGCGCTTTAGTCAGTTGCATCTTTAAAAAACGCAGGGCGTTGCTTATTATGTTCTTATCGTGGCAACAAAGCGCTTCTATGGGCTCATGCCGTAATTTCATTGGCTGCGGAGAGATAATAGAATGTCCGGGACTCAACACGACCTGGATTTCTTAAGCTAGTTGTTAATAACTATCAAAGCGAGAAAGAAAAGAAATTTCACGGGGCTGTCTTTATCTCGAATATTCTATATTTATAGACCAGTGTCCGATATCCTATAGGCCCCAGCGATAAAAATGGGAACCAATAATCTCAAACGCAGGCTCTTGTAAAGAGGGGGGCTGCGCATAAAACAATATTTTTGCTTATTAAAACACCCATGGTGTCGGTGTGGTTCTTGGAGCTTCGTGACTGTGCATTTCTTACGTTCTTGCACTATACTTCGTTTCACCTTATGTCCGAGCGCGGACGATGCTATGAGCCGAAGGGCCAATCAAACAGCGCAAAAATCGTAACGTCATGGCCTGCTCTCTGCGCTTGATAGGACTAGCCGGCGGAGGAGCACGCACAGAGAGACGGCGAATACCGGCTGGTCCTATCAACTGCAGAGAGCACACCATGACGTTGTGCCTCTTTCGCTGTTTGATTGGCCCTTCGGCTCATAACATCGGCCGCGCTCGGACCTAGGCTGAAACGACGTATACGATATGGGCAAAGGTTTCTAAAAGAAACTGAGTCTTTCAAAAAACGCAGCCCCCCTTCTGTGTCATGACGTCAGCATAAGCAAACATGGCGGCGCCCACGGAACAGAGCAGACACTGCTCTATACTGGCTGGAGGTCAATTATACACTATGTTTTAGGCTTTCCAATGGAGCCCTATCTGGTTTAGTAGAAGAAAGTGTAAGAAAAGGAAACCGTGTTCTTGTTCTTTCAAATATGCGAATATTCGAATGTTTGAATTATCATATATTTACTGACTGAAATACATTAACACTTAATTGGTGCACTATACTTCGTTTCAGCTTCCGTCCGAGCGCGGCCGATGTTATGAGCCGAAGGGCCAATCAAACAGCGGAAAAGGCACAACGTCATGGCGTGCTCTCAGCAGTTGATAGGACCAGCCTGTATTCGCCGTCTCTCTGTGCGTGCTCTTCCGCCGGCTAGTCCTATCAAGCGCAGAGAGCACGCCATGACGTTGCGCTCTTTGCTCTTTTTGATTGGCCTTTTGGCTCATAACATCGGCCGCGCTCGGACCGAAGCTGAAACGAAGTATAGAAGCATTTGTGAAGAAAATAAATGTTGTTCTTGTTGTTTTCTGCAGTATTTGAATATTTTGTGTACAATCTTGAGCTTCATTATACGCTTTTTTTAAGATTTCGAACCCAGCCCAAAGCTAGTTTAGTAGAAGAATTTATAAGGAAAATAAATCTTGACCTTGAAGGCTTGGCAGTTGCTATGCTGTCAAACCGAACTTTCGACGAGGTGCTGCAAATTGCTAGTATCCTTAAAGTTGAAATGAACGGACAAAAAACATACAAAATAAAAGAATATTATAGAACAACAGTAAACTCCACTTAATCTGGTAAAACAATGTCTCTACACCCCTAAATTCAAGAAGCACGATGCGAAAATAAACGTGAGATGACCTTCTAGTTTCTTTTCTTTTCTTTTCTTTTTTTTTTTTTTTCGAGGGGGCTGCCAAGAAAATTTATTGTTGTGCTTTTGTGCAGGACTTCCAAAAACCGGGCCAATATGCCCGGCATCTGCCGTGGGTGTTGTCCACGATGACGGCAAGACGTTTAACGGCACAAGAAGCGCGGCTTTGCAGTTGGCACTTATGTAAGCGCAATTTCAATCTGAACATTTGCTTGTCTCTTAAAGGGGTACGGAAACTAAATCACCTGAGTGCGAGCTCTCTACCCCCCCTTTCGAAGTTGGCCAGCGAGAAGTGCAATGCGTATCGCGCTCGTGACGTCAATGCAGTTCTGAGCCTTGTCGCGTCGTGGCGTCAACGCATGACAGTCTCGCCTAGTAGTAATGTCCGAGGACTGTACGCCCTATGGGCAGAGCCGTGTATACAGAGAGTTCGGTCAATGGGAGGCGCGGGCAGAGTTAGGGCGTGCACCAGACGCAGAAAGTGGACTTGACACGCTCTCTTGGCCAACCAGAAGCCTAAAAGAATACCCCTAGCGGTGGTAGCGAGAAACTGTTTTAATCAAAGGTATATGTTGGTATATGCATTTAATAAGGGCGTAAGGGTGTAGTAACTCTTAATGGTTGAAAATAGGGTGCGCGTAATTTTTCGATCATGATCATGCAGAAAGATGTAAGAAACAAATGCGGCCGCTCAACTCTGTCCTGCTCGGACAGAGTGTGACCCCTCGGACGGCAGACTCACGGCCCTCAACGCTTGGCGTACGGATTTTGTCGATCGTTCCGCTAGTCGCACTCTTCACCATGATTTTGGATGACCGTGATTGAACATCAGGTGCACCATATTTTCAGTCACCGAGAGTTACTCCAATGCACTTATCAAGTTTGTTTCTCGCGACCACCGCCAGGGTATTATTTCCGGCTTCTGGTTGGTCACATTCGAATTTCTAAAGACGCCCTGAAACACGCCCAGCCCGCTTTCGGCCAATGGCGCCACCTCATTTGTCTCCTAAACTTCCCAACGAATGGCAAAACTCTCTACATATACGGCTCTGCCTATGGGCTATACCTAGATTGCGTGTGACTCCACAGAGCTTGAGGTCGCTGCTTTGAAGCGTTCTTCCGCAGAACGAGCGCTCGCGCTTGAGATGCATGTCCCAAAGCCAGGAGCGCGAGCTGGCTCGCGCTTGTAGCGTTGGGTGCAGTCTCAGCTTATGTGTGAACGGAGTATAGTAAACGCGTTAGCATCCTTCCCCCAAGTCACATTGAAAACTATGAAACTCAACGGGCGAGCCATATTGCCGCACACTGGCGCTGCTTCTTAAGAACTTATGGCGTGGCGGCATTCCAAAGGAGCTTTTCAGACTGTCACCAGGCACAAATTTGAAATCTATTATTTCGTTTTAATTTTTTTTTTTTTTTTTACTTTTTTGCTTGCAGTTTAGAAACACTAGTGTAGGCTACAGTTTCTGGGCTGCCGGCACAACGAAGACCACATTTAGACAAAAAAAAAATAAGAGGCAAACATTTTGTTTCCGTATCTGTTTAAGAAACAATTGTGAGCCGCCTTCAACATGTCTGTGTTATCCGTTTCAAGGCTGGGCGCAAATGAAGATGCCGAAACGAACTGTAGTGATAAGGAAGGATACTTACTTGCAAATATGACCAGTGAAAGCCTCTACGAACTCTTCTTGTGTACCAAGAACGCGATCTCGAGGTTCTTCCAGAAACAAAGGTAAGTAAAGGAAACAGAAAACCTACAGGGCTTCGGGAGAGGAAAACAAACCGACTTTATCGCATTGCAGAACTAAACTGCATTTGGGTGAAAGCTCGAAATTCGCCAAGATCCGACGCCGAAAATTGAAAATTAATGGTTACTGGTGTAGACAGTTGCGAGCGAAAAAGACGTGCGAGCGAAAAAGAGGTGCGAGCGAAAAAGAGGAAAAAAGAGCCTAGATTTACGAGAGGGAGCAACTACAGCGCTGTGTGAGTGTTTTGTCTGCGGTGATTGTGTTACTAGGTGTGATGGCTTTTGTGGCCGGTGGTGACGTGTGTTTGAGTGTAACCCCATACTTGCGCTGTCATTTAGAGACAGAACACCGTTGATCAGCTGAAGCATGCGTATTGCGCACATTTTCCGCTACATCTCCCAGATGGCGCATGTCGACGGCAGGCCAAGGAAGCCTAGATTTAAGAGAGGGAGCAACTTAAGTCACTAAGATGTTGAGAACAGCGGAAAGGGCTTCAGTTTTTCTACCTCAAGCACGAACGTTCTACCAAATGTTCCTACCCTCGATAACTCTTTGGTATCTCCTGCTCCTCTATCGCGCGTGCGCAGCCAAAGCACGGCCATATGGCACGGCGCATAAGAGGATAGGCACGGCGGCATGGAGCTGACGCTGGTGGACGGGCGTTCATGAGACGCGCCCTACCGTTTTCAGTTTGTCCCTTACAGAATCATGGGGAGCATTGGCAACAAACGGCAGACACTTTTTGCGGATGTTGGTTGCATGTGCGCATGCCTACGTTATCCCTGAAAATTTGACGCTCGTCCTAATTAGGGTCTAGCCAATACCACCTGGAAGACAAGGCCTGCGCGTTTCCTCCTGTAAACGTCATCAGTAGTAGATCCTCTCAGTGCCCCCTAGGTGGCCCGGATGAGCACCATCGTCTGCTACATCTTCCGCGACGTCGTCGGTTCCATCGCCTGCTTCAGTGGTCATGAGTGAGTGAGAAAACGTATTTATTGAAGGAAGGGGTACATCACGATCTTTTGATAAATCATCCAATCGTGACGGGGGAAAAGGATTATGAGAAGGGTAGGGGGAGGAGGCTAAATGTAACAGGCGATCCCCGGTGATCGGAGGAAACTAATCAGGGAATCGAGAATGTGTTTGCGGTACGGGTTCTCAAGCCTGGGGCGAGTCCAGTCCTCGTACGTAGCTGGTCTTGCCTCTTCAAGGAGTGAGTTTGTGGCGTTGTTACGATGCCCTGCAACCCCCTCGCACGTCCAGACGAGATAGACGCACGTAGCTGGAATCCCGCAGTGCCTGCAGAGCGGATCAGGGCCGACGTCTTCGGGTGCGGACGGGCGGTAAAACCTAGCCAGTCAGATGGGAGTAATTGCCGTCTTCGTTTGAAGCCTGGGTATGCAGACCCGTTCCCACCTGCTGTAACCAGGAGGAACAGGGTCTCCATCGGGAGGGAGAAGGGCGCCGAGCCTGAGCTTCCTGGCAGCCCTCTTCTCTTTTCTGATCTCTTCAATGTCAGGTGGGAGGCCCGGGTCTTCTTGATTAAAATAAGAACACCGACCTCACATAACAAGAAAAACAACTTCATTAAACGTTACGCCTCCCATGCGGGAGGCATCATCAGTACATACACAGGAATGAGAAAGCTAGGGTCAACGCAGTCCTATTTATCGGGAAGGTCCATATAAGCTTCCGAGAGGGGGCCACGGTTCTTGTTGCACGCCGTCTTATCTCCGCGGATGAACCATGACTCAAGTAGTTTGCGGGGGCCCCACCTATCCTCCTTCGCCAAGGTCGTCGCGGCTGTGAAGTCAAAGGTGTGTCCTGTGGTCCACGCGTGGTCGAGCAGCTCCGTCTTGAGACGGAGCTGGTCGACCACGCGTGGACGTCAAGTATTCGTGGAATACTTGACGTCACGTTGGTGTTCTTTCATCCTGGTTATCTTCTTGCGTCCGGTCTCCCCAATGTACGAAGGGCCGCAGTCCTGGCAGGGGATCTTGTACACAATGCCTTTCTCCGTATCCGCAGGGGTGGGGTCCTTTGGCTTAGACACAATACTTGCTATAGTTCGGTACGGTTTATACACAGTTCGAATACCTACAAGTTTTAGGGCGCGGCTTAGCGACTCCGACACTCCCTTAACGTACAGAATGCACAAGACATTACGTTCTTTGTCGGCTGCATTGGAGTGCGTTTTTCGTTTCGTCTGGTTGATTACCTCATCTACAAAGCGCCCGGGGTAGTTTCGCTTTTGCAGAGACTCTTGTACACGTGCGAGCTCATTAGCGCAATAGGTCGCGTTAGAGGGCACAGTGTTTGACCTGTGAACAAAAGTTCGTACAACAGACTTCTTATGCTGTACAGGGTGGTGCGAAAGAAAATCTAGAAAATTACCACTGTCACATGGTTTACGATACACCTTGGTTTCCATCCTGTTGTTCGGCTCGTAGTTCTGATCACACACACATCTAAGAAGGACAACATGTTATTTTGTTCAGGCTCGTAGGTAAACTTAATCGCGGGGTGGACGCCGTTTAAGCATTGGTGAAAATCATCAACAAAATTCTTGTCTAGGATAACGAAAGTGTCATCAAGATACCTACGATAAAACTTGACAGGAAATACAATCTCACCGAAGACTTTCTCTTCGATATACTCCATTACAAGGTTAGCGGCAGTGACAGAGACAGGGCTTCCCATTGGACAGCCATTCACTTGATGGTACACCTCTCCACGGAAGGCAAAGAAACATTGGTTCAGACAAAAACGCAAAAGCAAAATGATATCATCTACATGCAGAGACGTGCGAGTAGAGAGCGTTCGGTCATCAAGTAAGCGTTGTCGGGCGACATCAACTGCAAGATCGTTGGGAACATTCGTGAAAAGGGAAACAACGTCAAACGAAATCATGCTTTTGTGTGGAAGAAGAGTTTGAGCGCGAATCAATTGTACAAACTCTTGGGAATTTTTTACACCAAAGTTATTGTTCCTTGTCAGGGGTGTTAGCAATTCTCAGATACTTTGACAAATCGTACGTGGGGGAGCCAATAAAAGATACAATGGGACGAAGGGGGCATTCCGGCTTATGTACCTTTGGGAGACCATAAAGTTTAGGCGTGCTATCATCGGAGGAAAAAAGGCGACGGTACAACTGGTCACTAAGCCTACCTTTCTTACGGAGTTCTTTGAGATGATCAACTAGCGATCGCTCATATAAGCTTCCACGAGGGGGGGGGGGGGGGGGGGGGGGGACCGTGGCTAGGTGAGGGCATAAAACCTGCATGTAGCTGCGCCCTCGGGGCCTCGTTCGCCCTCTCGTTCCCCGGGACACTTTCGTGTCCGGGGACCCACGAAAGCACAATGTTGACTCGCGGACGAGATTCAATAATTATGCTCTTGATTTGTTTTACCACTGGATTTCTGCTGTTGCCCCAGCCACATTCTTGGAGAGCTTCACTGGAATCGGGGAAGATGCGTGCTTCAGTGACTGTTCCGGGTAGCGTATGATCCGCTTTTTGGATGGTGTGAATCAGCGCTAATAGCACTGTCGTTTTCGGGCTGGTGGTTTTGTGCGTGATGCCACTCCATATGGTGTTTCTGGAGACAGAGTGCCATGCAATCGCTGAGCGGCCCGCGCCGTCTCTGGCAGCATCTGTATTCACCGATGTTTGTTTGCAAACAAGCTCACTACCACCCCCTATCGGCGGACCCCAGCGCGCTTCCGGTTTTCCTCTTCTTTTCTTTTTGTCTCTCCGCCTTTTGTTATTTGCACTACTTTGTACAATGCACTAATGTTCTTACAAAGATACTACAGAAACTTCTCTGAAGGAAATTCTTCTTACCCGACTGCTGTGCGTTGCTGAAGAATAAATAAATACACTACCGGAAGTCTACTGGGGCACCAAATACTGTGGCGCCCTCGTGGTATCAACTCCCACCGAATGTGGTGAATACATGACATCGGCGCTGGTCAGTAAAGTGATCTCTTCGACGTGCTTGTCAGCCGCGTGCTTGCGCCTTCCTTTGTGTTCTTTTTCTTGATTCTTAGGTACTGGTTTGATCGCGACGACAAGCTCGTTCTCCCATGGCGGAGATAAAGTTGGCATTGCTGCTGTTTTACGAGAAGCTCATGTTTCTCGAGTTTGGTGAGAAAGATTCTGCCCGGTGGAGATATGTATAGGCGATTTTCCTGCCCAAAGACCATCTCCTTGGCAATGTCACGCAAGATTATTGATCTGTGCGGCAGCTTCAAGCTGTTCAACCGGTGTAAACTTGGGTAAGCCTGTAATGATTCTCATTGCCTTTCTGTTGAGTACGACCAGCGCTGCTTCTTGGGTCTTGGTCAGGCGCAGGTAATTCAGACCGTAGACAACCTTGGACAACGGAAGGGACCTGACGAGTTTCTTCAGAAAATCCTCTTGGGCATAAATAAGCCCTGCTAGTAATTTTCCCGAGAAGGTTGACGCCTTTGCTCCACTGAACTTTGGTGTGTTTGAGACAACTTGACACGCATCCACATCGGTCGAAGGTGACGCCAAGAATCTTTAGGGCGTCAGTAGACTCAATGTTGGCGCCGTTCAGTTGGAGACAAATGGGGTGCCTGGACTTGCGTCGTGTCTTGGAAACGACCATATACGCAGTCTCCTCGGTGGAGAGAGTAAGCCCGGACTGCATTGCGAATGCGTTGGTAACGTCAAGGGCGCGCTACATACCCCGCTGCTGGGTTTTGGCAAGGCCCTTGGTAGTCCAGAGTGTGACGTCATCGGCATAAATGGTACAACTGACGTCCGAAACATCTTGCAGGGTGAAAGCCAGATCCGCCATTGCCATAATAAACAGCGCGGGGGAAATTACCGCGCCCTGCGGGACTCCTACGTTATTGTGCTTCCACTGGCTTCTGGTGCTGCTAAAGACGACTTGGAAGAATTTGTCATTGAGAAACGTCTTAATGAGGTTGAGGAGCTTTCCCCGAATGCCCCTTTTTTGAGCCGCCTCGATGACCCACTTATGTGGTATATATCAAAGGCCTTTTTCACATCTATGGCGATGACAGTGCGGGGTTGCGCCTTGAACTGTGGTTTAATGAAGAGGTCGTGGTGAAGCATGGCGAGGCTGTCCTGCGTGGACAATCCCGGCCTGAAGACGGTCTGCATGGGGTAAAGCGCATCTCGGGTTTCGAGGATCCACGAAAGGCGGGCCTGAACCATGCGCTCGAAGATTTTACATACGTTCAAAGTTAGCGAGATGGGTCTCAAATTTTGCACGGAGGTAGGTGGTTTTGCGGGCTTGGGTATGAGAAGGACTGTCGATTTCTTCCAGTCGGCCGGGATCTTGCCGCAATCCCACGCGTCGTTGTACATCTGCAGGAGTTCTTTCATGTCCTCCGTTGGCAGGTTCTGAAGGGCGGTGCCAGAGATGCCGTCTGGGCCAGGTGCCGTGTGGGTCTTGGCAAACTCTAGAGCTTCGATGAGTTCATCCAGCGTGAAGGGGGCGTTCTCCGGTTCCTCAATGTTGACCAAAACCGGAGTGTAGATCTCAGTTCCTGGTGGCGGGGATTGTTGTGGGAAGAAGAAACTACCGGCTTCGTTGACTAGGTCAACTTCCGACACTCCGATCCGCAGGGCTAAGTTGCTGCCAGTGTTGTGAGCCTTGGTTTTCACCGCAAGGCCCTTGTAAGTCCGCCAGGCCCGGCGCAGGCCAGTCCTCTCATTGAATGAGTTGCACAGTCCCCTCCATTGGTTGCGGAAGAGTTCCAGAGTGTAGCGTTTGGCCCTGGCGGTTGCCAGGTTCAGCTTGACCTTGCGTCTGAGTGTCCTATTTGTCCTGTATGTCATTAGAGCCGACAGTCTCAAGCCCAGATATTCGTGAGGGGATTATCCGGCGTCGGTGTATCCTCCTTGACTCGGTACGTGGTCTTGGAATAATTTACCGCTTCCACGATTCTGTGATCAAGCGGAAAATCTCTGTGGCTGTCCATGTTGGCATGAAAGGCATCCCACTTGATGAAGGTGACGGGTCTCTTGGAAGACTCTCGTAGCGGGAGGTCTATGCGGATCGGGGGGTGATCACTTCCCATGGGGTCAGGCAGCGTCTTCCACCTAACTTTGAGGTTCTTGGAAGATCGGATGATGTGTCCGTTTCGAAATCGTGCTGAAAGAGTCTGGTGTGAGCCCCTTTGTCGTTGTATAGTTGTAAGCGGAGTGCTTCGGACGTGGCCTTGAGTTATTTGCCTCTCGTGTTTGTGATTTCATACCCCCACCTATTGTGCACTGCGTTGAAGTCTCCAGCAACGACGGTGGACGTCCTTGTGTTCACTGTTCTGCGCAACCACAAGAAGTCGTTTTCATTCACCCCGGGTCTAATGTACACGTTGATCACGTCCACAATTATAAATTCTAGCTTGAGTCACACCGAAACAACTTCGCGGTTGCCACCGAAGTAGGAAACCATGTCGAGTTCTACTTGCGGAATTGATTTCCTGACAAGAGTAAGCGTTGTGCATCGAACTTCGCCCAGTCTTAACATGCGTGGTTGAGAGTAGATATTATAATTGCGGACCTTGACATCCTTGACGTAGGCCTCCTGTAGCAGAATTCCGTAAGGGGCTTCCTCTCAGAGAAGTTCGAGTCTGAGCTTGAGCACCGCAAGCTTGGAATGCAGGCCCCTTCAGTTCCACTGCAGGAACCATATCTTATGTCGTTTCTTTCGCTTTCACAAATGCCTCTCCGGGATGTCTACAATGTCGGCGTTAGCGTCCATGTGGGTTGGCTAGAGCGTAGACGAGTCCGCAAAGATGACCTACCTTATTTTCGAGTTTCGTGAACCTTGCCTCAAAGTCCTCAAATTCTGCCCTGGTGATAAGAGGCCCAGTGGGTTCCGAGATCCTCAGAGGGTCGCTCCATGCGTTGGGGTTTTCGTGTTTTGGCTTCAGTGCAGGAAATTGAAACTGGGACGTCAGTGGTGGGGGAGGAGGAGCAGCCGGCTTTTCGAATTGGGGTCTAGGGCTCTTGGAGCCTTGTTGGTTTAGGAATTCCCTCTCAGCGTCGCGCCGCGGCTGTCGTCGCGAACTGGGTTGATGTTGCCTTCTGACGAGAATCTTGCGTAGAGGGTAGTCATTGCTCGTTGCTACATGATCACCACCACAGTTAATGCATTTAGGTTGGAGCTTGCATCCCGCGGCAGGGTCGTGCTCGTGGCCACAGCCGCCGCAACTGGCGGCATCCTCAGGGCAGATGTCGGCCTTATGGCCCAGCGTGTGGCACTTGTGGGAGGCGAAGGGTCTGGGCCTGTATGACGACACCTTGAAGGACTCACAGGCATAGCGTACATATCTTGGAAGGGTCTGACTCTCGAAAGTAATGAGCACAATTCTTTCAGATTGGCCGATAATCCTGCTACCGAAATTTGGTGAGTTCTGCACTCTAGCTCTTTCATCAGTGACTCCGGAGTTTCGTCGTTATCGTGTCCCCTGAGGTAGATGACCCATTTCGTTTGGGCACTCGACCTGGCGACGTAGGGCTTCATTTCCAGCGCCTTTATTTTCTGCTCAATGGTTCAAATCGTGAGGAGCTTATCAACCGCCTGCTGATTCCTGGTTGTGATGGCAGTCATATTCGATTTCTCGTTGACATGAACGGAACATTCTTTGTCGTCAACGCTTGTTCGAGTGATGGCGTCTCTAATGTTTCTAGTGACGATGTTGAAGACGTCTTATCTACAGATGGGTTTTAAGACGACTGTGTAATTTGGTGTTGATGGTGTAGAGTCGCTTATCTCGTAGTATCTCTGACTTTTGCCGGGTCTGCGCATTTGATACCACGATCTAGCCGCACCTGTTTCTTGCTCCCCACCTTCGTACATGGACGCTATGTGTTATTGACTCGCTCCGGCGCTGGAACTGCCTGAGAGAACTTCGCTAACACCAGCCGACGAGTTTCCCGTCGAGTTTTGGCGCTTGTATTCTTGGAAAGTGGCTTTGTTCTCCATGTACTCACTGCTCAATAATTGCAGCCTTGTTCTGCTCATACTCGACAGTAACTGCTCGGTTCTGCACATACTCGGCAATAGCAGCCTGGTTTACTTGAATTTCAAGGAAAGCTGCCTTGTTCTTCATGTATTCCGTAAGATTCGGGAGTTCTTGCTTATACGCAGAGTAAGCTTGCAGTTCCTCGTCCGGTACAGTGGAAACGAGTCCTACCTTCTTAGCAGGTGTCCCCTTGGGGTTGCTTTCGGGCAGGTAAGGGTCGTCTGGACTCGCCATGCTCTTTCTTCTTGGTGGGTTCTGGATCTTGCCAGAAGTGTCGAGTTGCAAAAGTCCGTGGGGGTCTACTGTCCTTCCGGAAGCGGGAAAATCCCGCTCCCAGGCTGGGGAGGGTGGCGGTGGTCGTTGAGTCAGCTGGCCCCGAAAACGAGGGACCGGGGCCCAGAATTTATTAGAAAACGCTTTACAAGGGGAGGAGGCTTAGCAGAGACGGAACGGCCAGTATTCGAAATCGAACGCTGCTCAGCTGGCGAGCGCGTGCCTCCCTTCCGTTCCTCACTAGACCCCTTCAACGGTCATGCTCAGAACGAGCTCACATTAATAGGCTGCTAAGACCGGCAATCTTGAGGGTGTCGCATGCACGTTTCAAATGAACTGTGGAAGCTCGCTGTCAGCTCGCTGTCAGCTCGCACCAACGCTCGCGCTTAGCAGTCGCAGCCGCACGTGGCCTTTACTCTCGTCAAGCTTCAACCTGTTTACCGCTTGGGGCGGGTCGGGGATCTACTAACGAAACGTCATGCGCAGGCCCTTTCTTCTAGGTGGTATCGGGCTAGCCCTGACGTAAATTTTTCAATAAAACATTCGTAGTGGGCGGACTTCAAATCCACAAAGCGCGCCCGTGACCTTTACCTTTCCGCTCTGGGATTGCGTAGCACAGCTGACGTCACTCTGGGCGCGCTCGCGTGGGTTGCGGAGCCGGCGCAGAGAGGAGAGATGGACGTCACGTCGACGCTTTTCCAGCATAGTTTCGGCTTAAAACCGTCTACAATAATTAAATTTGTCGTCCCGTAATGCGCACAACTTTTAATCTAAATGCTATGTCACAGCTATATAATATTTTGAGATCGAGAGCCGATTTTCCAACCATAATAAACCCAAAAAGTAGAAGATTTTAAAAAGCTCTCTTCTTCAATTAGTTAGCTAACTAATAAACCGATTTGGATTTTTTTTTTCTTTGCTTCTGGTTTCTGCGATTCTTAGTTTAGCCCCAGAGTTTAAAAAAACCCTAACAGAAGTTCCCTTTTTTAGCTCTGGTCCCACTAAAATACAGTCAGCCCGTATGACGTAAGAGTACCCATTATCTAAAATTATCCTGTAATATATTCCTCCGGCACTCACTAAAAACTGAAATTCGGCATTTATTTTAAATACGCACGTAACATTATTCTTCGAGGAAGTCGGAAATCGTGCTTTTCCGCGTGAATGGTGTGATCCACATGCCGCCGTCTTGATTTATGAATCACGAAATGCGGCGTGAGCGAAGAACACGCATACATCAAGTCCATATGATTTTTTCCAGAAAGTGTGCATATTTTGTATATACTTCATAAATCAACATTAAAATCGTACAACCTGTCCTTTCAAATGATGGCATGGCTCGCATGACGTCGTATCAAGTACACCCAGCTTTACGCTTTACACATTACACAAATCACTATCTTATTTTATTACAGAAAAAATAAATGTTGGAATAGGACACCAACTCCTGCAAAGCACAACGAAAATATGCTTGCAAATGAGTATTACAAAGCAAAGGACACGAATGAATGTCAGGTTTCTTCAACAGACACTCAGGAGGTTGAAAAATGCGAGGTAATATTACCTTGCCTTCATGCTATATTCAGTATACATTGTTCGCGCCAAGTAACGTTTTGTGCATAACACTCCAAAATTTTCAATACTACAATGAATTGTATGCATCACTATTCAGAGTGTCTTATTTTGTTTGAACGTGCATTAATCAATTAACAGAACATGTCCATTGTATTTGTAAATATATAAGCCTATCCTAATTTTCACAAGCACAGAAAATTGTTACCTTAAAAGTTTTATTGCTGGAGGTAAAGTGAGTGAGGAATTTGAGAACTGCGTTATGGGGGTGGATAGAGAACATTCGAAGTGATTGGCAGGAACCAAAAATGTATTTTTACTTAACATGACATTTATTTTAAGAGATTGTGAGGGGACACTTTTGATGTCATTTGAAACATCAGAAAAATGTATCAAGTATGTGCCTTGCGAATCACGTAATCTAAAACAATTATCCACAAAGGTAAATGTTTTGTGTGTACGTGTGTGTGTGTGTGTGAGTAATTTTGTATTGTCCAGGTATAAAGCCAATTTATTGTAGTTTATTTTTCTTTGCCTAGAATGAAATAGTGTATACTTGGTTTTTAGCTGGTTAAGGTTGAGTTGATTACTTGTGAACCAATTTAGAACCCTAATTAATCCTTCAATTCCTTTAGGCTGTACTTCATTGACACTATCACCTATAAAATTAAAGCTGTGTCATCAGCGAACATTAGTGAGTCTGAGTACTTAAGGATAGACGAGAAATCATTTACATAAAGAGAGAATAAAATAGGTCTGAGGACTGAACCCTGCGGAACATTAGTTTGCTCACTTTTTAGGAAGGAAATAAAGTCATCGATTATTACGCACAGTCTTCGGTCCGAAAGATAGCTACAAAGTAGTTTAGATATTTTGCATCTAAATCTATAATTATAAACTTATTCAATAAGATAGTATGATTAACTGTATCGAATGCCTTTTTTATATCTAGATAGACAACTATAACAATCTTCTTGTCGTTGAGCGCCTTGTTAAGGAGTTGAGTCATAGCTAGAACTGCGGTGGAAGTAGATCTATTTGACCTAAATCCATGTTGGTTAGGAAAAAGAATGTCGTACTTATTTATAAATTCCTGAAAGCGATTGCAAAGTATTTTCTCAGAGGTTGTATTAATTACACTTAAAATCGAGATTGGTCTATAACTTGATTGGTCGGATGAATCCCCATCCTTGAAAATGGGCACTACTTTGAAAATCTTAATATCATTGGGATAAGTTCCGCTCTCTTAGGAATGATTGAACAGATGTAAGAGATTAGCACTTAAAATATCTATATTGTCTTTAAATACTTTTACGGGAATAGTGTCGAGTTCAGACGCTTTATTTTCGCTAAGGTTTCAACTGTTAACATAAATTCATACATTTCTGTGTTCTGCATGACAAAACTATTTGTAAAAACTTTCAGTGAATTTGGGGAGTGGTACACGTGTGGCAGTTGAGCAGCCAAGATAGGCCCTATATTTGTAAATAGTCATTAAAATGTTCACCGTATCCTTCTCAACTACGTCAGGAAATACACAACTCCTTGAACCATGATTTATTGCACTATTAACTACGTCCCAAATATTTTTAGTATCCCACGTCATGGGCTCCATTTCCCCATAGAAATTTCAAGAAAAGCACTTATAATTCTTGAATAAAGTATTGGATCGGGCTGAGACTTTGGCATCTGGTTGTGACCTCTAGCTCTACCTTTGGGCGGAGGATGAGCGTTCGGCGATGCCTAGTTTATCTTTGCGGTAAAAAAAACTCTGTAAATATTTTTTGTGACACCTTGTACATCGCCGGCGGCCGCAATTTCGGCAGTAGCGAAATCTAGCCCTCCACGCCAGTACACCGCAGACGAACTAAGGGAGCGGGAAAACGACATTCTTGCTTTCGCATTCACAACTCATAAGAAGTGCTTAGGTAACCCCCTTTTTTTTTACATTTTCGGTGTTTGTTTGACGTAACCTTTTTTCTCACTTCTTTCGGTTTTATATGTTGCATACAGTCGGATGCAGCTCATCGTGTTAAAATTTTTAAGCAAGTTTTTTTTTTTTTTTTATGGTGCATGCCAGGCATTTTCCTGTCTCAGCGTTATGTTCATGTAGTGTTTAGCCATTTTCTCTAATTGTTGGAAAGCGAAATTGTCGAGCCTTTCCCCCTTATTTTTTTTTTTTTTTGACGTGTTTTTAGCACCATTTATTGCTAATTTGAAACAAATGTAATTTTTGGTCAGGGGGAGAAAATGGGGATATTTTCAATTAAATATATCAGATTTTCAATTTGAATAAAACTAGCGTGAATTAAATCTCTTCAGATAGAAATTAGAGACATTTTTTATCAATAGATGTGTGTGTGTGTGTGTTTGTGTGTGTGTGTGTGTGTGTGTGTGTGTGTGTGTGTGTGTGTGTGTGTGTGTGTGTGTGTGTGTGTGTGTGTGTGTGTGTGTGTGTGTGTGTTTGTCTAATGGCTGTCTGATATAAACATTTCCTGCTTGATCATTATTTACTTCAACTAAAAATAAATACCCATGGGAAGCACACGAATAGGCGAACGGTAAAATAAAAAAAATATATTTTCAGTAATGTTTTGGGTAAAAGTGTCTGATTTAATTGCTTAAAGCCGAAACGGTGCGACTTAAATTCTTATATCTAAAGTATTCCAATTTAACTAATGATTTAAATCAAGATTTAAATTATCTTTTGATTTTTATTACCCACCCCGGCGTGGTACAATTATATCAACGCATGTAATGAAATTCGTTGTTGTTTTTTTGCTATCGCAAAAGAAGTAAATGTTTTCATTTGAGTTACGGTTCCGGTCAATAGAAGAAGAAGAATTTCAGAACACAAACGTTAAGCAACTTCACCATATACGAAGAGCAGCTAAGGAAACCAGGCATAGCTTGGATTTCTCTCCCCAACTTGCATGCCAGTCCGCCAGTAAAGTATATGAAACTGAAGTTATATTGGTGGATCTGTTCTTTTAATATATCGGGCAGAAGTAAACTGGAGAGAAATACCAACCGTGTTTTTCTCGCTACAATAAAGAATTACCCATCACCGAACCTTCAGCGTCTCTTTCTGCTTGGAGCGGGCCATTTTTTCATTGAAAATTTCCGGACATCGCTCATAACTCATATAACGCCCAATTTTCTATCTTAGCACCTTATGCGAATCTTTGGAACTACATTCGAGTGTAGACTGAGCTGACTGAAAATTCACCTGTAGTATATTTTTGTTTTAGCGGCAGAGGCGTGTAGTGTTTCAAGCTTGCTACTTGTGTCGTGTTGAACACAAAAAACACATCGCCACTGCATGACATCTTCCAAGCATTCGAAACACTCTTTCGTTAAGTCTGTAGACCGGAGAGCTAATAAATGGTGAATACAATTGCGTGCTCTAGTAAAAACATCTCTAGATAGGGCCGCGAGCATGTAGCTGACGCCCCCATCTTGCCAGCGCTAATGCTCGGGGAAACTACGCCAGCGCCACACAGCGGCATCCGCTTCGAAGGCCTTACGGAGTTCGCGCTACATTTCCTACTAGAACCCTTCGAGGACACTGTGCCTACGTTGCAAATAGCCGCCGCTAAATATCTTTACATCACTGGGATAAAAAGTGAGGAAGACTGGTTGATTTGTTAAAAATAAGGAAGGCCGGATAGCCCGGCGGAGCCGACAAATTTCCATCCTCGAAAGAAAAAAAAAATAAAGGTAGATAAAAATTGCAAAACGAGTCAAGAAAAAATAAAAATATAATCAGAGGTATACAAGCTATTAATCAAGAATTTTCATGGTTTTCTTCGTCGCATTTCTATAAGCCTGTGCTCGATACACTCGGGTGGCTTGGATGAAATTCAAAGATGTCCATTTCAAGTAATTTCCCCAAGCACGAGTACCAGAAGTAAATATAACTTCTCCTGTGCCTGCAATTTTTGAATGAAGACTAGAAGTAAACAAAAAATAAAAAAGCAAAGGTGAAGAACTGAAAAAGATATGCACTGACTGTCAACTAAACATTTCATGAAAAACATCCAGCACATCGCCAGTATTGCCGTGGTTTAGGTGAAGTTGCTCTTTTCCACAAATATTCACTTGATAATCGACACTTCTTTCATCCACTTTTCTCTGGTATCTTAGCGTTGTTATAGCTTTTCTCAGTCCTCAATCAACTTGCCCAAATTATTACTATGCTCCGTTTCACCTTATGTAGTACCGCAGCGAAGGCTAGAAGCACGAGCTCATAGCGTTGGCAGCTGCCTTCAAACACGAGAGCTTGTGGCGCCAAGTTATGCCCTAGAGCAAGGAGCTCGCGCTTGTAGTCTTTCCCGCGGTGCATCATAAGGTGAAATAGAGTATAGTGACCATCCTTGCTAAGAAAGAAAGAATAAGATGCGCTCGTTCAGTTCTCGAATTGTCTCAGTTGAATCAAAAGCGAAAGATGCTTGAACATTCTATTTAAATTTAAATAAAGACAATGTATTACGCATCAGGTAGTCTGTTTTTTGTTTTTTTTTTTTACAGCCCAGCGAAGTGTCAGATCTTAAAAGTCAAAATTGGAACACTTGCAAAGTAACATGTTGTCCCAAAACGAGCGAAACGGATCGAAGCTACACTACAAATTCAGCTGATGGAACACAGTGCCAAACTGGAAACGTAATTGTATATACCCAGCCCCTATATGGGCGTGTGCCCTTTAAATTTTTTGTTTCATAACATCTGTGAAGCTCCGTCTTGACTGTATTTTATTATAAAAACTCACTGCAACTGGCAGTCAGCAATTGAAAAAAGAAAAAGGTCAGTCTGTATACTAGAATTCTTCAGCCCACCTCCGTGTAGAATAATAATTTTTAAAAGCTAAGTAAAATACAGTAAAACGTTTGGTGATATATTGTGATTGTGCCTTGTTATGTTGCTGTGGTTTATTATTTTGTATGTGTGTGTGTGTGTGTGTGTTATGTTGTGCAGTGCTTTTCGGACTCAAAAATGATTTTGCAGTATTGATAAATTAATTGAGAAAAGTCAGTCTTGCGCACTGAACATTTTGATACTGAACAATATATCATTAACGCATGAACCATGACGAAAGCTTCAGAAAACAAAACTGGCACATTACGACATTGTGAAAACACTGATATAAAACTTCGTAAAGCCATGTTGGATTAACCTAAGACTGGGGTAGAGAAGAAACATCAAAATGTAGAAGAGACAGAAAATAGACAGGACGACGTCGTCCTCTTTATTTTCTGTATCTTCTACGTTTTCTTTCTACCCCAGTCTCAGGTTAATTCAGCATGGTTAATATTCACAGGCTCCGCTGTACCCTTACCATATTTTCTTTTTGAAGCACTTTTTATAAATAGTTACCAGTTGTCTTCGAAATTTCACTTGTAAAAGCTTTATCCAATTTAGTCCCTCAATAAGACATCGCATTTTATATTTCACTTTCTTAAGCGTAAGTTTACTTTTAACTGCCAAATCAGCAATACGTCAAAACATTTCAGTATAGTACGTTACTTTACCTAAACTTTTACCTATATTATATATTTTTTCCAAATAGTTATGCATAACAGTTGGATATATGCTAGGAGCATTTCACCCGTGCAATATTTAAGTCTAAAGTATGCCGTGCTTCTTTTGGAAGAACTGTTCCATGCTTATGCAATATTCATTTTCTAAATAATTTTCTCATGTATTAAAACACAAATGTTTATATTTTTCTCACTGCGTATAGATATGTCTCTTTGGAAACTGCATACGTGATCCTAGAAGTAAGACACTCAAGACTAAAAGAAGTGAAAACAAATAAAACGTGTTTTAAAAAACTGACCCCAAGATATTCGGTTTCGCAGCATGTTTCATTTGTCTTCTGAACAGTGACTAAATCTCAATTGTCCTAGATAGCTTAAGAGCGGCGGGAAGGGGCAATCATTGTCACATACTTATCACTAAACAACCTAAAAGATTGCAGGATATTGCCCAAGTAAGAACAGAAAAAAAAAACAATTTAGAATTGATTAACCAAGTCAAACGTTAATGTAGAGTCGATGACTAGATATACAGGGTGTTTCACAAAAGGTGGACAAATTTGATATTGCAAAAACTGCGCATCATACCAAAAAAGGCCTGTGTCGCTTTTGTCCTAGGCCAGGGGCCTATTTCAAAAAAGAATATTAAAGTTCGAAATAATTAAGTTGTTAATTATTTTCGTGCAATTATTTCCTTTTAATATTGAGTTTAAAGGGGTATTCCGGCTATTCTTTGAGCTGCCTCAAGTAACTATATGTTCTGACTCGCCGGCCTTTACCCTTTCCGGTATGCTATTTTTAGTATCTCGTAATTCATAATAGTTATTGTGAAATCGGCAAATGAAAATGATGCAAAAAACCAACATTCAAATATACCCGCACTTTTCAGTACCGTCACGTCAGTGGAGGGCAGGCTTGCCAGTCGAGCGAGCAGTCTGAAAAATAGAATATGCCAATCATTTGTTCTGTGCTGGAGCGCGAGTACTGGAGCGAACTTCAAAAGCCTTCATTTGACACCATGAAACTGCTTTGACTAAATTGGGAACAAATTCTATAGTCCAAAGAGTGAACCCTGCCCTCCTCTGACGTCACCTTTTCGTTGTGGCCAGTAGAGACTCAGTTTGAGCAACACGGTGAGGACCAAAATTGTAAATTCAATACCTTCTCGAAAAAAAAATTTAGACTAATAATTGCGATGATATTTAAAGGGGTACTCCGCCGATTTCTTCATGGTCCCCGATTTGCTTGAAATTTTGCTAAACTCGCCAAACAACATCGCCAAAATAGTATCCCAAATATTAGGTTATTTGGTCCTCACCGTGTTTTTCAAACTGAAAGTCTCTACTGGCAACAATGAAAAAGTGACGTCAGTGGAAGTGCTGGGGTTCACTCTTTGGACTGTAGAATTTGTTCCCAACTGATTCGAAGCAGTTTCATGGTGTTAAATGAATGCTTTGGAAGCTCGCTTCAGTCCCCACGCTCCAGCATGGAACAAATGATTGGCATATTCTATTTTTTAGACTGCTCGCCCGACTGGCAAGCTTAACCTTCCTCTGACGTCACGGCCCTGAAAAGGGCGGGTATATTTGAATGTTTGTTTTTGCATTATTTTCATTTGCCGATTTCGCAATAACTATTATGAATTTCACGATACTAAATAGCATACCAGAAAGGGTAAAGGCCGGGGAGTCAGAAAATATAGTTAGTTGAGGTAGCTCAAAAATCGGCGGAGTACCCCTTTAAGCACTGTTAGTTGGCGAGTTTAGCAAAATTTCAAGCAAATCGGGGATTATGAAGAAATTGCCAGAGTACTTCAAGGACATGGTTTCATTTAGAATCTTTCTGGGCGTCATTGAATAACACTAAATCAACAAATTGCAGAACGATAGAAGGCACGTGCGGTATTTTATCGCATATAACATCATCTTGACGTTTGAATCTGTGAAGCTCCGTCTCGACTGTATTTCATTACAAAAACTCACTGCAACTGGCAGTCAGCAATTGAATAAAAGAGATCAGCGTTTATGCGAGTATTCTACAATCCACCTGCGTGCACAATAACCATTTTTAAAAGCTAAGTAAAATACAATCGACAGTTTAAGGGGACCGTACGCTATAGCTTTGCGTACGCAAGGAAATTGCGGGTCATGAGTGCGCATGCGCAAAACGCGATAAAGTGGCTAGCGTATTGCGTATGCACGCAACGCTGGGGATTTTGCGTTCCTGGCTAGCGGGCCTTGCGGGAAGCTCTCGAGAGATCTGGGACCCAACGAGAGCGCCAGTTTCAAGATGGCGGTTACCTCGACTGGCGCTGCAAGGGCGACGTGATGTTTTCGAAGTTCTGTTACGTGAAATTGCGTGGTGTTCAGCTCGGCGATTCTTTCTGGTACCTACCGTGGTCGAATCAGATCGCCGTGCAGCTGAAGGAGTGCACAGTGAAAATGTTCGCCGCTCGGAATGTGCGTCGACGCTGCGATCTGCTCAACGCTAAGCCTATTCCCCCAGTTCATCGCCGACGGACGAACGACTCTAAAAGAAATTTCCGAAGTTCCCGCTATGCACTGGACATCAGGGTCATGAATTTCATTCCCCGATAGCATTGATAAAAGGTGCCGCTTCCACGGGACGAGTGACGGAGGCTCCGTGATCGAATTTGGCGACGCACTCGTACTCGTAGCCTCTGTACCCCGCAGAAAAGCGCGCTTTACGAGGCAGCTGTGGCTTGGTTTAATTTTATATAAAATGATTGGACACGTTTTTATTTTCAATATTTCTTTCCAGGAGCATGGTTGCGCTATAAGCACGCGGAATTCTACGGCTCTAGCAAATTTAACCAAGATCATGCGCGGTGTTCACTCGAAAACGAAACGCACAACTAAATTCGATCCGAGCAGGTCATTTTTAGCGTACGCTTACGCTATACTATTGCGTATTGCGTACGTAAGGTCCAGCAACGCTACACTAAAACTGTCTAATAAAAAGGCTGGGTAGTATATTGTGATTATGCCTCGTTATATTGCTGTATTTTCCTTCGTTTAAAAACCCCATCGCTGGAACCTGTTTCACATAAAACCTGCTACGAAAAGTTGAAAAGTATCTGACCAAATTTTTATAGTATCTGTTTTCGGATATAGACCATGAGCCAGACGAGGACGAAGTAAGTGAGGTAACCACTACAGACGAGGGCGCGCGCTTGATCGCCACAAGCAAGGACGTGTCCTTTCAAAGCTCCGAAATCCAACCCAGCGCCCGCAAGTTGATCATGGTCGACAAATTTGCAGCCGCATTTGCTGCAGTTCTACGCCAGTCTTTGGCCGAGCCACCGGCTCAACCAGGACTTGCGACGCCCATCAGCACGGCCTTTTTACCATGATTCCGGCCAGCTCCAAAGCCGGCCTTATCCACCGCCATGACAGCATCCCAGCGCCAGCCCGCCCAGGCCCTGCCGCAAGGCATGCTCAACTCCTGCAAATCGATGTTTGGTCGATACCTCGAACAAGTGTCTCAGGCAGGCATACACGCCGGCCCCGAGACGGCTGTTTCCGAGGTCCGTTTGAAACACAGCTCGAAACCCGGCCTGACTGAGGATGCATCGAATCAGGCCTCGTGCACTCCCAAGCCTACACTCTTAGAAAAAAGGGTCAGTATAGTCCTCCCTAAAGGGAGGAACGCTCTTGACACATATGTTCCTTCAGAAAGGGAGAAACTTTCGTCCCTTAAGCAGGGGAGGAAAAGTTCCTCCGTCGACTGCATCTCATTATGGCGGCCACGAATCGAGCAAATCGAGCTCGGTAAGGCTTAACGAGAACACTAAGTCTAATGCACGAAGCGAGAGGAGCAGGAAATAAAAACGTAACACGAGCTTTCCGCGAACTGTATTTATTTCCGAAGTTTCTTTACCCCTGCAGGTAAAGAAACTTACGTTTTGAAAGCATGCAGTCACTCAGTCTTCTCATCGTCAGCACTGCGATGTTCAACGGAGACAACCGGCACTCAGTTCGCGCACTTTATGTCCTACCTTTGCTATTCCTCGAGCCACAATTCCTTCGTCAACCGTAGCGTCAACCGCACATCACGGAGGAGTGAAAATCATTCGCCCGCAAAACCAAACGCCGCTCTCAAAAAAAAAAGCAAATCCGAAGCAACCTCTTGGCTTATCTCAGCACGGTAACACGAAATTATGGCGTAGCCGCGTAGCGTAAAAGGATGTTAAATCGCTTGCCACCCAGGGGGGTAAAGGTGGGTGAAAAGGAGTGGCAAATCCCGTGCGCCGACATCCTGGGTCCCGAGTGAACGATCGCGAAAGAGAGCGACAGAACACGAGAGAAAGAAAGCAACGTTGCCATGGTAAACGCGGTAAACGCGAAGAGTGTAAACTCTCAGCAATATAAACGGTGATAATTTAACGTTGTAAACTAAATTCTGAGCTATTCTAACGCTTATAAAAAGCAATAAAGTCATTACGCTGCATTAACTTCCCTTCTGTCGAAATCTCGGAAATCTGGTGGTTGCGCAGTTTCGTATTCCTCAACCGCGCCCAGCCGCGCCCCACCAGCGAAGCCGGGTATATGGTTTAGTTTAGCGTTAACGCGAGGCCGTACATCTGCGCGCTATGCAAAAAGAAACCTTCGAAAGGAACGCGAGTATTTTTCCACCGGTAAGTTCGTGGATTGTTGAAGTTCACGAAACTCCTCTGATGATGTAACCGTGTTTGGGACCCAGAGGGTCTGCCTGCATGGTCCGCCGCTAGCGGCAGCCAGAATGGATGGGAAAACGGCGGACCTTTTCCTCTAGATTTAGTATATGATCTCTATGTTGCCACCAGATGGCAGGGTCAAGCAGAGTAATCACACGTAGCTAGGCTAGGTGGCGCTAGGTACTGCCCAATTCATGTTTTACAAAAAAATATTTTTATTTTCTTACGCCACAATTGCGTTTCCTTTTCTTCGGAATCTCTAACACATGTAGACACGTTGCGCACACTACAAACATCAGGTCAACATATATTGAACGCATACACAGGCATCGCACATACAAACATCAATACAAAAGCACACTACCCCGATCAGTACTAGCGAACCCTGCGTTTCCGTCTTTTATAGTGGTCGTTTTGAACGTGCGGAATTTTTCGGTGACTCCCTAAGCAAAAAAAAATATTCTGAACATGTTCATTTTTTTCCAGCAATGTCATACATCTGAGGCTATTTTTAATGGTTCAGGGGATGAATCTCTTATTAAAAAGAAGACGCTCAATCATGCCATAATTATTTGAAAGCCAATA